CCATGCAGGAGCTCATTTGCAACCTGGGGCATTTGTGACAGATGTGCTGCCTGCGCTGCTCTCCACGCTGGCCAAACAGGAAATGAATTTCAAATTTTCCCAAGGCGTCTCCTGTGTATCCGGAGAAAGTGCTCGCCAAGGCGGTCATATTGGGGCACTGAGGGACACCTGGAGTCCACCGACTTTCACAGTCTGCACTACTCTAAAGTCAACCTTGCAAGGCCAAATTTACTGTTACTCCTCTCGACAAGCAGGAGTACAGAAATCAATTTTAACACCCCATAAAGTCGGTGGAATGGGCTTGTTGGTACGGACTTGTTGTATAGAATATTGACCTAATGCAGCTAATTTTGACCTAATCTCATAGCGTAGACCAGGCCCAAAGGTATAAAAAATTCTGAAGATGTTAAAGTAGTTAAAAAGCATTGAACGTGGACCACCAAGTGTATCCAAACACATCAAATGTATGTAGTGGAATAGTGGCTCGTAGCATTAATTTCTTGAGTGAAATATGAAACTCACCAAAAACTAAATGGTGGGGAAATAGGAGAAAATGAAGAACAACCAGGACTCATCCAGATATGATAATTCATGATTGAGTATTCTTTCATTGTAATTTAAAATATATAATACGTACCTTTTATATATTTACATACATTTAAAATAGTCACATGAAACCTTTACTACAAGGTACTTTTGAGATATCAAAAGCATGAATTGTGGTAGCAGCTCCTCGCTATGAAAGAATCCTTCATAATATTTTGACCAGGTGCAGACTGAGTGGAGAGATGTATCCCGGGTAGTGCTGCTATAAGGTCATTCTGCAGCAGTTATGGATCGAATTTGAACTATTGGGAGCTCTTTTAATAGTTGGCAGGCACACACTTAATCAAAAGGTTAGATGCAGTCCCTGACATGCCTCCTGGATACTTCCCTGAAACCATCACAGTTACTTTGGCCTTTGCCAGCTATTCTTCATTCCTAAACTCCTAATGTTAACCAGTCAAAAGGAAGTCATTGATAGCTCGTTGTTGTCATCATCATACTGAAGGTACCTTATCCCATGTCGGTAGAATCCCAGGTGAGCAACCTCAGGGATGAGCAAATTCCCAAAACCACCCTCTGGAAATTCTGCTCCATGACAAACTGAGGACCACTTACTTGTGATGTGGTCTACTAGCAAGTCAACACCAGCTGATGACTGATGGTGTCCTCATTGAGTTTGCATGTTGTAGTCCATGATGCTGCTGAAACTCTTCAGTTAATACTATTATTTTAAAGCTGAGACTTATTGCAAACAGAAAACATTTTAAGGATAGTATAACTGCCAAGGCCCACAGCTTTGAATGTGCTTGCGAATTGTTTTGTAAGATGACAATTGTCCCTTGGTGCTGAGGCTGTCTTAGCCATGCAACTTCGTTGTTGAGCTAATAAATTTAAAAAAAAGAGTATGTTGAAATAGTGAGTAGGTAATTCTTCTTGCAGTCTGTTCCCTTTGCCTTTCCTTGGATCTGTCCTGTGTATCTCCCTGGAATTAGTTGAAGGAAGGAATTAATTTATGAATTCTAGCAAGGTGAGGGATTGATGTACATATCTCTGGTAATTTGCTCTCAATGAGCAGAGAAACACAGCTGCACTTGTTTCCTATTTGTCTTCCTGAAAACGAAAGTTAACCATTAGGCTTCTACTTGAGGAAATAGACACTGGTTCCATAATGCTTCCTCTCCTTTGTAGAGGAATGACACCCGTCCTTTCTTTTTTTTTGTTTTGTTTTGTTTTATGGTCAGACATTGACTGCCAGAACAGTAATGAAGAAACTGCCATTCTACAAGATGCATGCTCTGTAGCATGCTAAGAAAAATCTGTGTTTAAAAGTGGTATAAATGAGCTGAATGCTGAATGGGGGAAATGTAATTCTACAGAAATCTCTTTATATGTATACCACCTAATGGAAGCTGTACATCAAAACAAGGCAGGAATATGTCGAGAGGTTTGCCAGGGCCTTTGTTTGGAAGTGCATTAGCTATAAAGCTATGCTCGATATACAGAAGGAAATGCCTGGTTCGTTCATTTATTTAAAATGTCAGTGCATGGCTCTGTAAAAAAAAAATGCAATTGTTGCTGTTTGAGCTTTTTATCCTCTCTGCCAAAAGTGCTGCAGCCTTTGGGACAGCCGTGCAAACTGTAAAATTATAATTGCTACAGCCTTTGTCAATTTGAGCTGTTGGTCACCTACCGGTCCTTCTGCACCTCCTCGCCTCCCTGGGTCAGAAGGTGTCTGCCCCTTAGAAAAGTCATAGGAATTGAAATATCCTTCTTGTTATACCAGAAGATGTTGTGGTCACAGGCGATTAAACTTGTGTCTGTACTGGTGGGGCTCTTGAGCGCTCATCCTTCCCCTGTGGAACTCAGGCACAAGCACTTTGCCATCTAGTTATGGGCTGTTCTCCGGCCCATTGACGGGGCTGGGAGAGGGAAACTGCCCTGGGGCCAGAGCTGCTGGCCTGCTGGCTGCTGCTATTCTTCAGAGGTGGGACCCAGAGCACCAGGCCTTTTCAGTTGCTGACAGCTCTGGGTGGCGCTGAGGGCTGTGAGGAGAAAGGGGCTGGCATGGTGCACTTGCTGCCCCGGCCCTTGAAGCCCTGTGTCTTCTGGGAGCGTGGAGCCTCCCTCTCCCACCCACCTAGCCCAGGGACCTGACGTGGCCGTTGGCTTCCCGGCTGCTCTGTTGTCTTTTGGTGGAGGGTGCATTTGACATCTCCAGCAGCTGCTGCTGCACTAGGGGCTACCTCATTTGCTTATTGTCTAGTTCAGGGGTGGCCAACCAGTTAGAGGCGAAGAGCCAAAATAGCGGTGGATAGAGTGCGAAGAGCCACGTATTATATATTTATTTTTATATATCTATCTAAAGAAAGATACAGACAGAGTACACAAAATGTAGTGGTACAAATAACATTACAGGACATTTCGGACAAAAACCAATAAAAAAGTCTCTAGTCACTTAAAAAATTCACGGCCAGTCCATAGATCTTCAGAGAACTTGACAAGGAACAAACGTCAGATTTTAAAAAAAAAAAAAAAACCTGAAAAAATACAGTAATATTCTCACACTAAAAAAAACCCCCCAAAGCATCCCCACCATGTATTTTAAATATAACACTACTGCCCTATTCTGTCCTGTGAGTTTTTTAAAATTAAACTGAACTGAGAAGTGAGTTAGCACAACTTGAAGTTCTTGTTTCACTCCAGCTTGTTGCTCTCTGGTATGGTTTCCTCAATTTTATTTCTTATGAAGATTATGGCTTTTTATAGTTCTAAAAATTCAAGTCTGTTCCAGACTGCAAATATGAGAAGTTCAAAAACAATAAGGGAGAGACTCATATCTCAGAATAATTGCTTCAGCCTGGCAAACAATAGCCTTTGAATTTTCTTTAAAGAAACACAGTGTAAACCAGGTACATGCTGATTCTGTTTTTGCCCTGGAATTTTAATGACATCTGTGTTGGCTGCCTTATTCTGCATCCACAAAGACTTTGCATTTAAGGTGCTTCAGCCCTCCTCTCCCTCCGCTCTAACCCAATGCCCCACCCCTCCCCCAGAGCCAGGCATTTCCAGCCCCCCCATTCTAACCCAATGCCTCACCACTCCCCCAGACCCAGGCACCCCTACCTCTGCTCTAATGCAGTCTCCCTCCCCTCCCCTAGACCCAGAACCTCCCTTCCCCCCCAACCTAATGCCTGGCTCCCGGAACCACCGCTGCTGCTACGTGCTTCTCCCTCCAGGCGCTGGGGTGTGGCTCAGAAGCAGCGGGAACCGCATTTCCTTAATCAAAGAGCTGCGGGTTGGCCACCCCGATCTAGTTTGTTGGTTTTGCTGTTAGAAGCCATATGCCAGAAGAAGCTTTTGGTCTGTAAAGAAAATCTCAGTGACCATAAAAGGAAAAAAAAAACCTTATCTTCTCCCATACTTTATAAAGCAATGTTATGAAATTCTGGTGCTGGAGGTATGCAGTGAAGTATTTATGACAGAAAACATTTTAAAAGAAATATGATTTAATCAGTTTTATGAACCTTGCTTTTTTTTAATCAGTAGGATTCTACATTAAACTGGCCAGTACTAGCTCCTAAATTCTTCATACTCATTCTAGCCAGTTACACGGCCATGGGCTTTGAGGAAAGCAGATAAACAGCAGCTAAAATTGCCAAGTATATTGGAACAGTGACTCTCCAGTGTCTGGGGACATGAACTTTGTGCTCGAAAGTACAAATAGCTTTAAAAAAGAGTTCATCACATTTCTGTTGTTAAATCTTTTCCTAGTATTAATATAAAATTTAGTTCCTCTCATTACCATTGGTCTCCCTCTCCCCACACTTTCAGATGATCTGCCATGCACAACATTTTTGTTGTGCAAGTTACTTTCATTAGTGTATATTTTTTTGTTAGTTCTTCTTTAATAATTAAAGATTTAATATTTAAAAACGTAAGTTATGGCTTACATTTTTCCTAAGATGATTTTGACTTTCCACTTCGAGGGAAAAAATGTTCTTATGGCAAGTTATTGCAAACTTTGCTTTTTAAAATTCTGTATAACAGTAGATAACCTGGGGTATATTCCTGTAGATACTGCCCTTAAGGAACTATGAGGAAAAACTTTTGTGAATGAATTTGAAACTCATTGTTTAACCTGAAAATAAAAATAAGCATCTTGAATCATAAAAGAAGCCTGGCTTAAAATATGGTGAAAATATTTTATCACATGTACTAGTTGGGAAGCTGAAAGAAAGGAAAACTTGATTGTCCCTTACAAAAGTTATAGAACTTGAAGATCATACTTTGACACAAACAGTAACCACTCAGACCACATATTGAACAGAAACTTAGCCTGGTATAACTGAAGTGAGGTTATGGAGTCAAATGCACATTGAAATGGATGTTTTTTTGCCTTGTGTGAAAGCAGGCAATTTAGTAGTGATAAAAATACTCATGTTTTATATTTCCAGATCCTCTGTCAATGGGTCCTCAAAAAGCTCTGGAAACCATAGGTGCAAATTTACAAAAGCAGTATGAAAACTGGCAGCCTAGGGTAAGTGTGTATATTTGTTCTTGACTTTCCCAACTGTATCTGTAGATCCGATATTATTCTGGGATAACCTGGCTTAGAGTGGAAAAGAAGTTATTCACCTGTTATGTAACTTGGTGAACTCACATCCACCGTTGCTTGCCTGTCCATTCTAGTGATGTGAAATACTGGTTAATCGGTTACTGATTTACTAATGTTTAACCGATTAAGCAGGATCTGGGTGGGGGACTGCCCCAGGCCATGGGGCTACTGCTCCCAGCCCCAGCTGGAGCAGCCCTTTTCCACAGCAGGCTGGACGTCCTGTGGATAGGGGCTGTGGCAGACACCAGTGTAGCCCCTGCCTACGGGCACCCAGGCTCCCTGCAGACGGGCTGCTCTGGAGAAGAGTAGCCCCATCTGCTGCGGGTCATCTGTGGTGGGAGGAGACTTTGCGCGTTCCCCTTTCTGCCCCCAGGAAATTCAGGGCTTGGGGGCAGGGGAGTGCACAAAGCCTCCTTCTGCCCTGCCAGGAGCGCATGGCTCTTGTAAGTGCCACATGCTCCTTGCAGGACAGGCAGAGTGGAGGACATTTTGCGCACACCCCCTGCCCCCAGGCCAATCAGGGCTAATTGGCCTGAGTGGGGGGGGAGGGGTTGGGTGTGTCGGTGAGGGGAGGTGGCAAGGCCTCCATGGGCCAGATCAACTTGCTTGGTGGGCCCTTTTGCCCACCCCACCTTAGACAATGAACTATTTCGGACAAATCTTTTCCTCCTTGTGTACTGTACAGCATTGAGCATGTTGTCACTATTACACAGTAACTTCTCAATACAAGACCTGGTTTGAACAAAAGAGAAGTAGCTTTACCACTTGAGTTTGACTAAAATTTATCTTGTGCCTTTATACCTTAAACTGCTGCTTGAAATTGATTTATTTCTTTATGTTTGTGAACTTACATCTTCAAATTCTATGAAGGATTATTGGAAAGGATATTGTTTTATCTTTCCCTCTTAGGCTATGTCTAGACTGCAGGCTTCTTTCGAAAGAGCATCTTTCGAAAGAGCATCTTTCGAAAGATCGCGTCTAGACTGCACGCGGATCTTTCGAAAGAAAAATCCGCTTTTTCGAAAGAGAGCACCCAGCGAGTCTGGATGCTCTTTCAAAGACGGCCTCTTTACATTGAAGAATGCCTTCCTTCGAAAGAGGAACTTTCGAAGGAAGGCGTTCTTCCTCGTGAAACGAGGTTTACCGCCATCGAAAGAAAAGCCGCGTTCTTTCGAAATAATTTCGAAAGAACGCGGCTTGAGTCTGGACGCAGGGGAAGTTTTTTCGGGAAAAGGCTACTTTTCCCGAAAAAACCCCTGAGTCTGGACACGGCCTACGTGTGCATCTTCAGTATTTTGATCAGCATCTTTCTGAGTTTCATACGCCTTGTAGGTCAGCAAGAGGACTGCTGTGCTTCATGCCTGTTACACTGACCATCTGATTGTTTCATGTACAAAATCAATCTTTTTTTTTTTTCCTGGCTGAAATCTTCATCAGTAGATGGTTTTGGGAGCATATCCTAAAATTTGGAAAATTCCTTTGGTATTTTGTTCCACTCAAAGCAGAGAGGCTTGCTGAAGAAAGACTTTGCCTTGGTTTTAGCAATTCCTTTGGGTAGTTTTAATCAGTCACGCTAGTTAAAATCTAATTGGTTATGTGTTAACATGAGGATGTTTCATAATTGTTTTATATAATTTATAAAATCAGTATAGCTAATAAATGGCCACTTTCAGTATTTTGTTTGGTCCTTGTGTGATTAGGCACCCAGTATTGGGCATTCCTTCTTTTTCATTTTGTTTTCTATAAGGTTTTTTTTTTCCTGTTAAGGTTTTCATTCAAGCTGGTAGATATCCATTAAAGATTACAACCTTGGTGATGGGATTAGTGTTCCATTGGAAAGGAAATGGTTCCCTTTGAGTTCACTTGCTGTTTCTTCCTGTCCTCTACAGGTTCATACCACACTCATCACCATGGTATCCAAATGCCTTTCAGTAGTGCACTAAGTAATCCAGCCGCACATCTGTCATGTGGCATGTGTTCTCTCACTGCGTATGTCTATGCTGCAATTAAAAAATCCAGCTGGCCTGAGCTGCTCGCTTGGCCTCAGGTTGTGGGGCTGTTTAATTCCAACTTGGACTTCCAGGCTGGGGTTGCAGCCTGAGCTGTGGAACCATCCCACCTCGCTGGGTCCTACAGCCTGGGCCTCAATCCAAGTCCGGAAGTCTACACTGCAGTTAAACAGCTCCTCAGCTGAAGCCCTGTGAGCCTGACTCAGCTGTTCCAAGCCAGCTGTGGATTGCAGGGTAGCCATCCCCATTGTCTCCCCAGGTGAAGAAGTGTGTGCAGTCGTGTGTGTGTGTGTGTGTGTGTGTGTGTGTTTAGGAAGGCAAAGTCAAAGATAGAGGTTTGTGATGGTCATTCATTCCTGGGCTGATTTGTTCCACAGTCTTAGAGCAGCCCCATAGAAGTTGTTTCCGGCACAAAAGATCTTTACCCTTACCGTAGAGAATTCCATCATGTTAGAGGAGCAAAGTTATTGACTGCAATCTACCTTTTCCGGTACACTAAAGTAAAGTTACAAGTTTTAGTAGATGATGTAGAAGGCATAGTGAAACTAGGCAGCCTTTCAATCCATTATCATAGTTGCTACATTTTCTGTCTCAAAGCCTGAGAAACAGTAACATTTGGGCAGAGATGATTAATCTGTTCAGAGAAGTCTTTACTTGTTAGCAGCCGCGGATTTTCCTCTTATTTCATGGTGACAGATTGGGAGTGAAGAGACAGGTCTACAGATCACTTTGTCTATACAACGGTTGTTAGTTACTAATTCAATGGTTGTGGTTTTTTGAGTCACCTTTTCATTTTTTAATAGATATGTTTGAAGGCCCTGTCCTAAAAAAATCCAATTTCATAGGCCTCTTCCTTTAACGGTTTATTTTAGCTCTTGTGTTACTTGGTGCATTATAATGTTACTTAAAGGGGATGTGCCATCTGGAGAGTGAGACCACTTTGAGTACAAGATCTTTCTGAGTATTGTTCTGACAACAGTATGCCCTGTGTGTGAAAGGTCAAATGGGTGGCAGTCAGTGACACGGATGATTACATGTGGATTGCGTTTATTATATTTTCTCTGTTTCACCAAAAGAAGTGGGTCCAATAAAATATATTACCTCACCCACTTGTGTCTGCATTTGTTAATTAATGCAATTCTAAATGTTCATGGTACAAGCCACTTCAGGCGTCTTCCATCTCAACAGTAATTGGGGTAATGAATGCTCTGGAAGACATCTGAAGTAGTGTGTGGAATCTAACAGTAAAACACCTTGGCGCAGTGTTAAAAACAAATACGTCTCTATGCTGTTTTAATAACTGAGCCCGTGGTACTGGAAAATGGTGAGCCGGCTTCTGGTAGCAGCAGGTACTCTGTGTGTGGGCAGACCTCATGCTGCCATGTAGAATTTGCACAAAACATGAGGCAATTATTGAGCTCAGATGTTTGTGTGCAAGGTGCCGGTTCTTAACAGTAAATCACAGCCCTTTGAAACATTGCAAAGCTAAACACGTACCACTTTATTGCACTCTACAGGGCTCTTGAGTTTTCTGCAGTAATAAAGAGAAGTTGATGTAACATCTGCAATAAAACAATAGGAATGTTATTGAATTTCCTAGATCTTTGATGTAAATATTAATAGACCTAGTTTTATCTCTTTTGGTGTTTTTTGACATGGTTGGAGATTTGGGGCAGAGAGAGAGACTTGAAAAGGGAAAAAATTGGCAATCGGAAAGAAGGCCAGATCATTAAAACCTTCTGAGAAAGCTAGCTTTGTGGAGCTGCCTGTGTAAACTACGAAATACTGGTCATTAATAGCTTTTGTATAGTGCAGACATGAATAGTATTAATTAACTGTAGACTGACTGCTACACACCTAGGATGATCCTCCCAGTAGAGTCCTTAAGATTTATTACCTAAGAATTATCACAGAACATCACTGCTAGTGCAGTCTTGTTTGTTTGGTGTTCTTCATAGGATGTTGTTTGAATCAATGTCTAGGAAATTATTTGTTTAAAACAATACAAATACTCTAGGCAGAAATCCTGAAGAAGGGCAAGCTTGAAAATTCTATTTATTTCTGAAAGCTCTCAGGTTGTGTCTGGTACATATTTCCTTGCCAGGTCTTATTGAGCCCTTTTCTAAATAATTTATCAGTTTGCCATTGCTTGAAGTATTTCTTCTGATTAAATTTAAGACTTTGCTTTGTTGCTGGGTAGCTACATAAATTTATGTGCTGCAGGATGGGGAAAACACTTCAGCTGTTGTTTCATCTACAAAATACTGCAGTTAAATAACATTTTGGTCATTTCATTGCAAGTCTTAAGTGAAAGTTTTATTGGGGAAGAGGAAGTAAGAGATTACAAACCTGCAGGCATACAAGGAGGAATTTCTCTCAAATTAGAACTTTGGCAGTTTAGCATGGAGATAATTTAGGTGTTGGTGCGCAAAAAAAATGAATGGGCGGGGGAAGAAGCAGTCTTGCCTGTACATTGCTACCCTTTTCTTCTGGAGCAAAACACTTGGTTTACTTTAGAAATTCTTCATGTATCCTGTAAAATATTTAGATGAGAGAAACTGATTGAACTTAAATGGTATCTATCTGTATGGGTATGTCTACACTGCACCATTATTTTGAAATAACTAGAGCTATTCTGAAATAATTTAGTCCGCGTCTACACAGCAGGCAGTTATTTCAAAATGATGTCGAAATACTGTCAAGCTGGAGGACTTCTTGCGCCGACTCCTGTAACCCTCATTGTGCGAGGAGTAAGGGAAGTCAGCGGAAGAGTGCTCTATTTCGAAATAAAGGCTGTGTAGACGCTCTCTATTTTGAAATAAGCGACGCAATTGACACAGCTCAATTTGTGTAGCTCATTTCGAGTTAAGCCCTGCAGTGTAGATGCACCCTATGTGTTCTTTCCTTCCTTCC